CCCGTGCAGTTTGTGCAAAACAACAAAAAATACTGTAAAAGGAAGGTTTACATGAAGCACCACCCAAACGGCATTTTAAAGGATATTATGGTATTTTTCACTCTGACCAATAAGCATTGAGCATTTTTAAGACCCACAGTATGCTCAAACACCTGAGAAAATTATAAGGATATACATGTTCCACACATCCTGTTCTTCAACAAAACTACGGAAAAATGAACCATCCTTCCCGTTTTCTTGTTTTCCATGTTGAGAGGTTAAGGTCTTGTTTCAGTCAGTCAAATCACTTTCAAAACTATGTTTGTATTAAAGGCAGCTCATTGGAGTTTCTTGTAGAAAATAATTTATAATGTTATTATAGTAACAATGCTGTGTATAACCACAGCAGGATTAGCTCAGTCGGTAGGGCGCTTGATTGCAGAGTTGGAGATTGTGGGTTGAATTCCCAGGACTGGATCAGTACTCATGGTCTTAAATTAAAATAACTGTGAAATAAAGGTATTCCCCTCACCCTGCTAATGGCTGGGCCTGTACGTGGCGCAGAAGGTAAAATGGTGGCCCCATGTCCAGTAGGAGATGTAAAAAACAGTGTCCTTATATTAGTACTTTTGTGCTAATACATTGACACTCAAATAAAGTGCATACTTAAAATATGAAATTTACAATGTTATGGTTTTGTTTAGTTTAGTTTTTTGTTTGTTTGTTATCTCTGCGTTATAATAAATTCTTTTGTTTTCCTATTACAAGGTCAGTTTTTTCATTGTTCATGAGAAAAAGAATTTACACTCAGGGGCTGACAATAAAAGGCATGAGGTAATTTTATCAAATTCATGAATGCTCGTGTCCTGTTTGTTACTCTTTGAGCCCTCCACCAGCACATTTCACATCCTTTTCTCATGACGTTTTCTATTTTTCTCTACTTTATCAGCATGGTAATTTCAGTTACACAGGGTGGAGTTCTAAAACTTTCAATCAAAACCTCTGGGTAAGTGATAACGAAAGTTTATCACCCCGTTCTGTTAAGTCCGATAATGACCTGCTTTTACACTGTATTGAATTACATTCTCAAAACACCAATATGTGCACAATTACGGAACACAATGGTTCCCACACAATAATAGAGTCATTGTTACGTTTGTCTCAGTTTGTATGCTACCGAAACAGGTAGACTGTTTTTTCCCAGACGTACGTAACAGTTGCCGTTAGCGACAAAGGTGATCGTTTTTGGTCACGTGTCTAAAGAGATGTTATCTCCAAAGGCAAACGGACGTGATAACATTCCTTCGCATTTCTTTGCTCGCGCTTTGGCTGTCTATCGTCGCTTATCCGCTTTCGTTTAGTAATACAACATGATCCAGCTAAAAGTGTTCTACCTAATATGCGAACTAATTACTGCGGACGAAAAATTAATGAGGTGTCTACCTTCGATGATCTCATGCGAATCGTAAGGAATAAATTAGGCGTGTTTACTGTCTATTCGCTTATCCCTTTCGTTTAGTATGGAACATGATCCAGCTAAAGTGTTCTAAATTTTCTTTTGGAAGTGTCCCCCAGAGCGTGAAAACAAAAGAAACCAACCCCACTAGACCGGAGTCCCCCACTCCATGTAAACAGGCCCTTAGACGTTCCTTGTTTGTTTATGGAGAAGCCCGCCATCGTTTAATTCTCAGGAATGTGAAGGAATGCGAACACGTGTGCTTGCATTTGAGGCGTCAGGGATAGATCACGTGGGCTTAATTCAAATATGTTTCTCTGCAGAGCCAACAGTTTCGAGCGTCTGCGAAAAAACAGTCTACCTGTTTCGGTAGTATATCATTACACATGTTTTTTTGAGCAGAGTTAGTTTTTACCGCTTATAAGCAGTATATTCATTAAAAAAAAATTCATTATTAAAAAATGATTAACCCACTGATGTCTAAACTTGAGGAGAGGAGGATGGGGTGCCTTGTCTTTTTCAGTGTGTTGTATGACTGCACCTATTAAAATATTCACTGGTGAATTCTTTAGCCACATTTTGGTTGGGATTACACAACAGGAGAACATCAAGATTTACTTTTAGTGTTTGGAGTGCTGTTCAATGGAGTTACCGGCATCATGGGTAAGTACAGTATTGATAAAATCAATCCAAAGATCCAAAACAGGTGTAGGATATGCACTGAGAGCCCTTGTCTAATATGATGGGAGGAAGTTAATAACCCAGGAATTTTCGCACCACTTTAATGAGGAATTAAATTGTGCCTGTGCGCAATATTGATTTCGTCGGAATCTAGATTCCCTAGCTTAAAAATTCAAGGAGGCTGCACACCTCATCAGGTTATTGATTTCACTCCCATATTCATAAAGACAGTACTTTACAATACTGTAGCTCCTCCCCTTCTTATATTTCATATGAAATGCCAGAGTTGAGTGAGTTCACGTGGCCGATGACGTCACACATACACTCCGCGCATGAGGCAGGGCCCATCATGAATCCCGTTATCATGTATTTTTCGCTGTCAGGGATCTCTTCCCATAATGCAGTTTTAAACGCTTCAAATTATTTGTTAATATTTTATGTCTGATTTGAGTTGTTTCTTTGTGCTTAGCTGGCGCTAATATTTCTGGAGACTTGAAAAAACCTGGTTATGCTATTCCCTTTGGAACACTCGCAGCAAGTCTGTTCACATTTGTTATATACATTCTCTTGGGTTAGTAATCGTGGAGGATATATATTATTTTTTACCCTTGTTTTTATTCAGTTTAATAAAATGTATTTTCCATATTAATTTATTTTTTAATTTATTTATTTTTTCAAGTGAAGTGAAAAAGGAAATGTTGTCATAGAACGTCAAATATCTAATTTCTAAAATCTCAGCAAACATTTTTTCACAGCTCCCTTGATATCCTCCGCGCTTTTCACTTCTCTTTGTTTATAGACCACACTTATTGATTGGTTTATTTTTCATTGGGTGTTGATTCGTTTTTTATGCAGAATCGACACTGATTCGTTGCAGGTTTTCGGAGATTGCTACCCTGGCACCATGTTTCAGGAAAACGATGAAAGAAAGATTAACTTCCAGCGTGTATTCGTGAACTTTCCAAATAATATTGTCTTTCATTACTTGATTATCATCTGTTCCGAATTCCTGCATTTTTTTCCGTTATTCCTAACGGCTGTGCCAAGAAAATATCGCCGACTTCATAGAATAGCTTGGCCACTCAACGTTATACTGTGCTTTTCCCAACATACAGTTTTCTAATCAGTACCGACTAGCTGGGCTGCACAAACGACAACAAATCACACTGACTGTGCAGTTATTGATCAGTTTTTATACAGGTTAACTCAACTAATTCTTCAACTTTGTTTGCAGTGTTTTTTACCAGTGCTACATGCTCCAAAGACTTACTGAAAAATAACTACAACTATATTCAGGTAAATATCAATGGTCTGTGTTGGTTATTGTCTTTACTTGGTAAGTGTTTGATTAAGAGTAACCGCAAGGACTAGGTTTGTCCAACAATTTTCTGTAATTCCGATCCACAGTCGAAAAGAAGCGTAGTCGCTTTTTTCACGGGAAGATTTTAGAGGCTGCTGGTTAGATAGGATGCAAATCACTCGATGTAAAGCTCCGAAAATCCCGGGGGGAGAACATCAGTTAATTTGCAAACAATTTATTGGTAAGAAGGTTTCATCTCGCTAAGTTTTTGTCTTTTATTTCTCTTGTCAAAACTGCGGTCAAAATGTAATATACACTTTCTTCTCGCACGTTTAGAATTTCCAACAGGAGTGTGTAATATGTATTTATGTAATGTGTTTAATGTCTGTAAGTACCTGTTGGTAAGGCTGCATTAAAAAAAAGAGAAGAAAAAGGAATAAATAGAAAGCTTTTCAACTTTCACATGGCTTTCCTAACAATTTGATTCAAAGCTTCCTATTCTTCCACTAAAGGTATTTTGATATTATTCAAGACAAAAGCATCATTTGTCATTACAAACATAGTAACAGTGTTTGCAATTGTAATTATCAGGGAGCTTTAGCAACGAATACGGCGACGGCAACGAGGGCGTCAAAGCAATAGGTTTGTTGAGCAAAACAACAACCTAACACGTGCATCGCGCTTTTTTGTACATTTCTTTGCCGTCCCTGCACGACTACGACGTGAAAATGCCTAATTTCACTTTTTTATGGAGGGCGTAAACAAGCCACGAGGACCTTTTCTCTCTCTTTCTAAACTTGAGTGCGGTCCCTAAGTTATCAACTCCAGGGAAATTCAACTGCATTAGACATTTTCTGCAAATAGGAATAAACGCGACAAAGTTTACAAAACGCGAATTCATTCTAAAGGTGACGTTCTCGCTGCCGTCGCCGTCGTCGATGCTAAAGCTCCCTATCATCATCACTTTCATTAACAGGAATATCCACAAGTTTAAGAACTTTAAAACATCACTTTTTCTCCATATGTCATCATACAGGTAATAAACAAAGTTGAGTTGTTGGTGACAATCGGAGCGTTTGCAGCAACTCTTTCAGCTGCTCTTAGCTGCCTTATAGGTAAGTAAAAGGCTTATTACAGGGTTGTGCTGACGTAGTTTTATAGGTCTGGTAAAGTCTGAAAACAGTTTGATATCTAGAGTGCGAAAGAGAATTGATAACGCTTTCATCAGGGCTCTTCTTCTCACAAAATCGGTACGCAGTTATATTTAATATCTATCATCGGGAACACGCCGATAAGGGAGCATTACTCAGAATTGTGAGCAAAAGATCGAAATTTTTTTCTAGAATAAATAAGAATGATAAGAATATACATTTTCTAATTTTTCAAAGGAAAAACGTCCATTTCGTGACAAGAGGTTCTAAAATATAGCTGCAATGCCGACAAACTTTTGCCTTTTTAACCGTTTTTTTTTTGTTGTTGTTGTTCATTAAACATCGATTTTTTTCGGTCTTATAGCTTGGACATTTTTTCTTATTTACTGCATTTGACCAAGGCATGCTCCTGGCCATCCTGTCCTATCAATTTATTTCTGTTGTTGTAAAACTTTCCTTGTTTTATCCACAGGTGCATCACGAATTTTGCAAGCCGTGGCCAAAGATGACCTCTTAGGTATATCATAACTAGATCTTATTAATAAACCTTTCTTTCTTCGATGAAACTGCTGTAGATATGTTTTGTGAAGCTTTTCATCTGGGAATATCCTGCTAGGTTTTGAAATTGTGGAACCTTCTTAAACGTTTAGAGAAAATCCGAGAAGAACGAAATGGGAGTTATTTACTGTACAAAATGTTGGATGGCGTACTTTGATAATTTTTTTCAGTTTTAATGTAATACTTTTTTTTATATGAAGTGGCTAGTACCCCTCTCGCCTCAATAGCATGCCTTTAAACTGGCTTTTTAAATTGACTTGTTTACCTCTTAGGTATTATACTACGCCCATTTAGTAAAGTCCAAAGAAATGGAGAACCATTGAGAGCCGTTCTAGTTTCCTGGTTCTTTATTCAGGTTTGTTACGCATTGACTCATGTATAGTTTATTTGTAACATAAGTAAACGAAAAGCTTTCGCTAACATTATCATTTTAATATATAAAATAATATAAGTCAGCTTGAAAGTTAACCTGGAACTGTGACGCACACATGTTGTCTTTGTTGCTGTTGACTGCAAATATTGATAGGACGATAGGACGATAGGACGATAGGATAGAGACCTATCGATCTTTTTCAAATATCTTACAATTATTTTTTTTTCCTTTTTTGTGTGTTTTAATGATATTTTTCTCTGTTTTTTTTTTTTTCGTTTTCCTTTCCCTTTCTCATAAGTAGATTGTCCTCTTGATTGGCAATCTTAACAACGTTGCTGTGTTGGTCAGTATGTTCTTTCTTCTATCTTATGGAGTCACCAACATGGCCTGCTTCGTACTCAAAGTTGCATCCGCACCAAATTTCAGGTATTACTGAATTCAAACCCTGTACTTACATAATTATTATATCATCATCCTTGTATTTGTACCCAGCTGGGTAAAGAAACCTGTAGAAAGCAGTGTCGTAGCACTCATCATACAGAGGGCAAGGAAAAATTGTTTTTCCAGCGCGACATTGGATCTGCGCAGAGGGAAAAGCAAAACAGTGTACTTGTAGTCAATTTTGGGGTCTTGGTCAGCTGGGGGAGTACCTTTATGGTACGATTCAAATAGGGCAGACGGCAAATTGTCGTTGCTCGAAATATCTAAAAGTCTTAACTGTTCATCAGTAGGATGCCTAAAATGTGTGCAATTCCACAGTTGGTTTCAGCTCCATCAAATCCTATACCAATTGTAGAAGAGAAGCCACCCACAATGTGAGCACAGTTACTGACAATGATGATTTTTCCCGGCGCATTAACAATGTTTAGTGCGACTGAGCTGGGAAATGCACTGGTGAGCGGCCGCCTGTCCCTAGTACCCAGTTGGTGGCCGCGCGCTTGCAATTAAAGAATTATTCCCGTACGGGGGATTCAAATGTATGCTGACCAATCATAATACGCGGAGAGCATCCTCTGCACTTTTAATTTCCTAAGTAACTACATAAGCCGGATAATGCTTTCGATGTAATGCTAAATGGTCAATTGTTTTTCACTTGCCACTGGTTGAGAAAATGGCGCAAAATGTACTAGCCCATCATCAAAAGTCGTGCGACATTCTTTGCCACCGGTAATATGAAACAAAAAACACTTGCCGAACACATAGATACAAAGATGTCTACGCCAATACAACCTTTCATGATAAATTTCCTAGACAGGGTCATTCCTCGGCTCTCATATGGTCTTTCTCTATTTCTTTCAGACCAACATTTCAGTATTTCTCATGGCAGTCTGGTTAGTATAAATGTCGCTAATATTTTGAAATTGTAGTTGATTGTTGCTATTTTACTGTTAATTAATTGTTCACTTGTTTTATTCATCCGTTGCAGCGTAAACATCAGTTGTTTCCTTTCGTTTATATTTTTTTAGCTCTTCTTGGTGCAGTGTTGTGTTTCCTGATCATGTTCTTGATAAACTACAAATACGCAGCTTTGGCTGTAGGTAAGTGATCGCAGATGAGATCAGTCGAACACGAAAATAAAACACGAAAACAAAACGCCCTGCCAAGTTTTCTCGTGTGCTTTTTACTTTCGCTTCTTCACCACTATCTTTGAGCCTGGAACAAGCTATGGCCCTTAATGAATAGTGATTCTTAACGAGCAGTGAATTCACACGCGAGCTAGTTAAAATTTCAGTTAGCTTAGACCCCGTTTTCACGGGTTTGGACAAATTTTTGAACTGACAAAAACTTGCACGGATCCACCTTTCGTTTACACAGGAACCGAGGAACCGAGCAAGTTTTTGAACGGCAAACAGTACTGCAAGCTGTAATAGAATTTGCACGGTTCCGTGTAAACGGGTAGAACAGGTAAAAAATTCGTCCGTTCAAAAATTTGTCCGGGACCGTGTAAGCAGGGTCTTGGCTTTCTTCTTGAACTCGATATAAATGTCCTCGCGGGAATTTTAGCCATTCAAAGTGTGAAAGATTTTTCTTTCTGACCACATTGAACAGGTAAAAAGATTGAGTTTGTTCAAAATTGATATCAACAACGAAATCAATTTTCAAACAAAGATATCGTTAATGAAATCATATTAAAGGGGGGAATGTTTTGTTCTTCTTTCAAAAATTCATGTCTATCAGATCTTCATCATAAATTTCAAAAGAAAATTGTCCATGACGTTTGAGAGTTGGATGAAAGGTTAAAGACGTTACCTTATTTTGGGGAATTTTTTGTCTTTCAAAAATAAGGTTTTTCGTTGGTCATTCCGGTTTTCCCTTCCCCTTATAAATTAACATATCCAAACTTCAGTTCGATCAGAAATGTGATAGAAAAAGAACCAGTTTGTCAGTGTGGATGTGCTTTAACTTAATTGTTACATCTATTTATTTATTTGTTTATTTATTTTCTTTGTTTTTCTTTTTTGAGCAAATCTTCGTAGCTTAGCATTTAACTTTTTTGGGATGATACTACATTTAGCTGTTGGAAATTTTCTCCAGTGGTGTTTATTTGTTATTTTGTCTTCTTGCAGCCGTGATGTTGATCTTATTTGTGGTGATTTCCCTTCGCGCCCCACCCACCCCCTGGGGTGATGTCTCTCAAGCCCTAATATACCATCAGGTAAGTATGTTATCGTGGCATAGTGTGTAAAACGGCAAAAAGGGAGTCGGTTCATTCGTGTCCACCATCATCTTGGACCTGAGGGCCACTAATTGGGACGAGATGTGCAGTAACAGAATAGTCGCAGCCGCAGAAAGCACATAATTTGCAAACTTATACGAACTTCTGGGCCCGATAAGCCACAGGTTACGTTTGACTTAGTCCTAAGTAGCCAGTTCCAGAAGCAGTTGAAATTAGATGCTTCTCACTGACCATAAAATATATCTGGCCAGTTCGAAGCAGGGAACTTCTAGGTTCGACTTCATGAGACTAAAAGTGCCTCTGGGCTCTCACGTTCTCTTTCTTAACCTTCGCCCCTAACTGTCCTGTATAGCTTCTCCCGATTCTCTGAAAATGAGGCAGCACAAAGCATGACACCATGGCGAAAGTGTGGATGGGTGGTGTTACTTCATTTGCTGATGTATTTCTAGAACGTATTGTCACTTTAGGTTTAAAATTTTCACAATTCTTCGTAACCTATATATGTGTAACGAGGTTTGTTGGCATTTTAACGCATTTTCGCCTGGATTTTGTCATAGGTTAGGAAATATCTTCTTCGATTAGACTTACGGAAGGAGCACGTAAAGTATTGGAGACCACAGGTAATGATATTACAGAAGATGTCCGGGGGAGTCGCATTTTTAGTGCAACATCAGATTTGCCACCCTAGGTAGGTTTGCCTGGGTGAATTTAGTGCAATTTGCAAGAAAAGTATGATGATTTCCATGCTGATTCCATTTATCATAACAAACATTTAAAAGTGGAGCCAAGCCATTCTATTTAATGCTCCAAAAAGCTGATCTAGGGGAATAAGAAAAAGGTCATTAATTATTCAAAATGGCGACAAGATTTCGTTTACGAGTATTAGAATGTAATGAAACGAGGTATTAAATGGGGCTAAATTTGGTTGATTACTGTAACACAGCAAACGCAAGCGAGTACGGAGCTCCCAACTAAAGCTTCCATTTTGTTCGGGCTCTTTGACAAGAACGTCGTGACATGTTGATCACATCATTTCTCATTCCTTCACTGAGCTTAAAATTTACCATCATTCTTTATTTATCACGCACATGACGATTTCGACATTGCTGGTCCAAGCAATATGCAGGACGCTTGTGACACATGAACCTTGTATATGGCACAGCTCGCCATGAATCCTTCGTAGCTCAGTGGTTAGAGCATCCGACCGGTGTACGGAAGGTCATAGGTTCAACTCCTGTCGGGGACTCAGGTTTTCCCGCCTTTGTCCCATGCTAGTGACCTGTTGATCACGTGATTTCTCATGTCAATACAGTTTTGCTACTCTTAACCAGGTGTTGCTGTTGGTTTCAAATCCTCGCTCAAGTTACCCCTTAATTGACTTTGTCAATGATATTAAGAAGGTAAGAATGCCGTGCTATAGGGTACAAAGAATGAAGGAGAAAAACCGTACGCGACAGTGAGTGTAATAGCACTACCTCCAAAAATATTCGTTGTGCGAGCTCGAAAATTACGCACAGGGAACCCGTTGAACTGAGACACAGGGAGCTCATCAAACGCAGGGAGACGCTTCAAGACTATAATGCCCCCGTAATGACCTTCCAACTAATGTTACATTTAATTTGTTTTCAGTAGTCCTTTCTTTAGTATATATTACATAAAGCATGAGAAAAAGTGTTTAATTTGATCGCAACACATCCATAAAAGGAGTTGGTGAAACGAGGCCCAGCCGAGGTTTTTAAATTTGACCCTGAGGTTATTGGAAATCGGATGAAACGTTCTTTCCAGTGTATGATAGAGGTTCTCAAACGATCACCAATTTTTGAAGAAATTCAAAGCTAAGCCAAAGGTTGGCAAAATTTTATTCGGATACTATTTCCAAACTCTCCGAGATGGAAAGAGTTATCCTTTGTTTTCTCTTCGTGGGGTATTAGTAAGGTTTGAAAAGAATAGTGAATAACAGTTTTAGCTAGTTTTTTTTATTTATTTATTTATTTATTTTGTTTCTGTTTTTGATTTTCCTTCCAGGGCGGCCTTTTTATTCTAGGTCATGTTCAAGAAGGTGACTTCATTGAACAAGTAAGAATCTGGGCATAGTTCTGTAAGTCGCTCGGTCCGTTTACACCTGAGGTTACAAGGATCTTAAGGCTTGTTTCTGTGGCAATTTTTTATGATAGACAGAGGCCCTTTATGTTTGCTTAAAAAATGAAATGAAATCAAAGTGAAATGAAAAGTGACCCTTCATGTTTGCATGAAAAACATGCATAATCCAAAAGCACTGATATCTTATCAGTCGACTTCATCCTTTGCAACTACAAAACGCGTTTCTTTAGAACTTTTGTAAAACTAATGAATAGTCGAATGCTCATATTTTACTGTTTGGTGGATATTTTTCCCTTCTTTATTGTTTTTTTTCCTTCACAGACTGTGAGAAAACAAAAAAGTGACCTAACTACCTGGCTGAATTTTGTGGAATGTACTGAGATTAAAGCTTTTGTGGATCTTACAGTAACTGGGAATATACGAACTGGCGCGCAAAACTTACTGATGGTAATAATAGAAATAACCTTTTCATCCTTGTCTACCTAGCGATAACGCATCGAAATCTTCGCGTCCGTACTAGCGTTTACGCATAGTCTGCGACCGTCTGCCCTCAGCCATCGTAAACTCTTATCTCGTGATACCTTTGTAGTCGGTTATTTGTACGATACTCTTGTCTTGTAGGCGCCATTAAGACACATTTTCAAAATCTCCGTTTTTGCCTGTCTATACCAAAACAATAGATTTCCGTTTTCAATATATATACTCTCCAGCTTTGAGGGCTTTTTCGAAGACCTTGTATGCGTTTCTAAACTTGAACAGATTACTGATTGTGGACGCCACGTAAGAAAACTATAGCCCATCCTAGCATTCCACCCTACCCTTAACTACTTTCTCCTGCATGGCCTTTATCGTTCTAGATAAAAATGACTGTTTTGCACCTGACTTCATGGCGCCCATGTTGGTGGTCAAGAACAAAAGCCTTTCTCTCCGCTGGAAAATAAACTCCATTTTCAATTATAGTCTTTGAAAGAAAAATTTTTAAATTGACCACCAAAATGGCGGCCTTGTCTCTTGGTTATAAACTAAGAATAGGTAGGGACTGGGAAATAGTTTGAATGTCATTGGCTTGAATGCTGTTGGGGTTTGTCGGCGCTCAAGATTAATGTCAGCCTTTTGACATAATTGTCAAATCTTTCGCATCTGTTTTGGTAGAGTTTTTAACATGGCTGGACCATTATGTATCTGTTTACATGCTTTTCTAGCTATTCAGATTAATGCTGAAAAGTATCAAATAACCAGATTACTTGTGTTTTGTATTTCTTCAGGCTTCCGGACTTGGTGGAATGAAGCCGAACACTCTTGTTCTGGGTAAATATATTTTTTTTATCACATTATAATTTATGGTGACCTTACGATTAAAAGTGACTGCGGGCTTTTCCATTTTGTTTTTGTTTTTTCTTTTTTCGCAATTTAACCAAGACGCCCAGTTACTTAAAAGTTAAAAAATAGGTTGGAGCTGAAGAGAGGGGGCTGGGTCCTAGCTCAGATAGATACAGTTAAGTTTGCGTCCTTTTCTGTTCACGGTCTAAAGAACATTTCAAGTCATAGTCATGCAGGGACAGCAAAGAGATTTACAGAAAAGCGTAAAGCAAAAGACTTAACTTTCTGTCGCTCTTTTTGAGGGTAACCCACGCGAGATGCTACCGAAACATAGAAAAGCTTGTTGATCAGAAGTCGAAGGCGAACGATTAGAACCTTTCGGCCACTGCCAGTTTACCTTTCTAATAGATATTACACGTTTTTCACCAAACGGATTGCAGGCATTATCTCAGTTGTCTTAAAATAGTTATTAATTTAACTGAACACTTTTATGTTTACAGGTTTTTATGATCACGAGTTGCCAACAGACAATTTCTCTCGTGGAATATTTAGGAAAAACAGGTTTCCATGGTTAAGAGCACTGAGGAAAGGTAAAAAAGTTTTTTTCCGCTAATTTTTTCACAGTTTAACAAATCAAGATACATGGCAATTTATTTTTTTTTCCCTTTTTTCACCTGGCGATTCATAGAATTATGGTTTAAGAATCTTACTTTTTAGAATTAAGGCCTTTGTGTTCTCTTAGTTTTCTCTGGAAGTTAAAGTTTGTTGAAAATATTAAGAGGCCTGTTTTTACCACTGTCATGAAACTTGCCTGTTATCCCTTAAGTGACGTTTTCCTTGTACACCCGTGAAAATAAAGTGACAAGATCACAGCTTAATCGTTGTTGTGTTTCATGTATTGATACATGGTAATGTGTTCACCGTTATCTACCATAGATGAGATCCTTCGCAGTGTGCAGTTACAACTTCCACCTCTACGAACTCATGTAAGTTGTCTTGTTACTCGACTTACTGGGTGCTGCCATTTTCTTTAGTGTTAAATTCTATTTATTTATTATCGCGTGTATCCTTACATCTGTAAAACTTCAAATATTTGTTGTTGCTGGAAATTTTTCATTGCCTGTAACTGTTCATCAGTGGGATGCCTAATCTGTGTTCAAGTTAACAATTAGTTTCGGCTCCGTTAAATCCAATGAAACAGTCTATCACGTTTCCTAATTTCAGCAACCTCGTCCCCAGGAGCTTCTCGGTTTTCATATTGGCGTCATATGGGAAACCAAACAGACCCTGGGGACGAGGTTGAAAGTTCAGTTGACTGTTCAGTCAATATTTTGGCTTGCACCTCAAAACAGTTATGAGGCTCAGAAGTCCCAAATTTCATTCACTTAACCAATTTTATAAACAATGAGTGTGTTTCTTTCACTTTCTTTTATCCGCAGCCAGGACAGCAAACGCTAACTCTAAAGGATTACGTTGGAATTATCAAGGTACGTTTTGTAGGGATAAATTAAGTGTTACTAGATGACCTTTGTTTACCCTCGGCAGTGTTTATAGCTCAAAGGCTAGTGGGGCCCAGGCAAATGGTTTACACAGAGTTCAAATAAACGTAGTTGGTTCTAGAATCCCTACTGGCAGAAGACAAAAGAGTTGGCTTTCTCGACGCGTGGCCAAGGAGATGAACTTGGGGCTAACGAGAAACAAGTGCAGCTAGCGGTCAGAACGAACTTGAACTCTGGATCTCTGAACTGCAAGTCAAGCACTCTGACCAATCCCCTTACAACTTATATAAGTCAAAGTTCGCAATAGTACAGTACAGCAAAAACGGCTGTTTTAATAGTTTTTTTAATGTAAAAAAGAGTTACTTAAATGACTTTGCTGTCATGCTGTACTTTGCTCAATTCGTGGACAAAGAGAGTTACAATGAGGTAAGTTTTAGTCGAAATCTGTTAAAAACATGACTACTATGAATTTCATGCTAAGAATTGTATGGAACAATAGGCAGATTTGTTGTTTTGGTTGTTGTTTTTTTGTTTGTTTCAATGTGTAAATATCAGAGTTTCTCAGTCGCCGTTTTTTATTTAATGATAGGATGCTGTGTTGATGGAAAAGAATGTTTGCATTGCTAGACAGTAAGTATTGTTGTTGTAGAAATCTCTGCCCGGTTTGCCCCTTTTTAAAGAGTGATCAAAACTAATTTGCTTTACGTAATTGCAAATGGAAATTCTTAATGATTGCAGCTTTTCACAGCTGGACAAAAACAGCCTTGGCAAGGAAGGATACATCGGTAATCATCTTACATTTATTAATGAAGGATTGCTTGATATCAGTGAAAACTCACTATGATTTAGGCTACCACAGACAGAGTGAGAATTAGACCTCGTCCGCAGGCCTTCTCGGCATTCAAATTGCCGTTCACTTCTCGTCGTCGCTACCTTAACTTTTCGAGCGAAGCACTGTTGTCACCCATGTTTGTTTGTTAGTTTGTTTTAAACTTCTTTTTCAACTTTGATGATTGTTCATTCATAGAATGTTCCTCATTTTCCGTGTCTGGTTATTGTTAACCTAATCGTCCATATATTTTATTATTATTATTTTTTGTATGATTTACAATTAAGTTTAATTTTGTGTGAAATTAGGTTTGTTGGGTAGGTTAAGACAATTTCTTTGCCAGTTTGAAAGTGCTTCTGTGTTTACGCACTGCTTAGGCACTACAGTTCTTTTGCAAGAATTTTATTCCTTTTTAAGTCTGTGGTCTGCCTCCCTTATATTTTTAGATGTATGGCCCATGAATACTAGTATGGTAGAGGAGGGTAAGTCTTTGTTCTTGTACACTTAATTGACATAATTTGTTTCATTCAGGTCGGATGGTGGCTGAATTGTCGATGGGAAACCACAATTCGTTTTCTTTTCTATCATTATGGCAGCCTGTGCCAGACTTTCAGATAGAAGGAGGCCGAGCGCTTAAAGGGCTGGACTTGCAATTCGGAAGCACCGAGTTCAAGTTCCGCTCTGACTGCTTGCTAGATTTGTTTACTGTAGTCCCGAGTTCAAATCCTCGGCCGTGCTTGTAAATAGCTAGCTGATTTGACTTCTACCAGTTGTTATTCTTAACCCTGTTATGCTTAATTTAGTTCATTTGTTTTATGCTCGGCCCCACTACACTGTTCTATAAATCTAAACAGTCTTCCTAAATGATGCTACGATGTTCAAGGGCCATTTCCTATTTCCAAATCCCTTACTTTCACAAAGAGGCCAATTGGAGATTGATTTCTATTTTTATGAGAATAAAGTCAAAGTCATAATATCAAAGCCTTTACACCTACCTTCGTGTTAAAACGGAGGCTTGGGCAATTTGGAAATAGTCCATCAGTCTATCTCTCCCAGAACCAATTGTGGAGTCTTGAACTGTAGTTCTATCTCGCCCTATAAATTGTTTACAATTGTTTCCGTAGGTCAAACATGTTAGTGCGAGAGGTTTAACTTTGAATTGCTATCCTAGCCTTATAAAGTAGTCTAGTTCTTACTCAAGGGCCATTTTTCCATTTTGTCCATCAGGTTTGGTTTTAGGTCCTTATGACTTCACTTTTCTGCTGATTCTTCAACTGAGTTGCATTCTTCACATGGTCCCATTCTGGGAGTCTAGAACCAAGCTCCGAGTCATGCAGATCGTCGAAACGGACGGTATGAATATGATAATAATAACTAAAATCATAAGGGCTCGCCAATGAAAATAGAGCCAAGCTTAGATGTCACTGTCTGTTGGACACGCGATAAGTGTGTTATTATTCTTCCAAGTTATTAGTGGGGTGGTACCAGTAACCGATTCAAGCAGCCAGCGGTGTCCAGGCAAGCCGCGAAAAGTCTGAGAAGCAAAGGCGTTTTTGGGCGACACACGCCAACCGGAAATGAGGCCTCTTCTGTTTTGATATGTCCCGACGCTCGCAAGTTTGGATTGTCTTAAGTGTCTTTACTCTTTTAGCAACGATTTGCGTGAAAGTTTGGGCCAAAGCACTGCTCAAGAATGCAAGAAGTCCACTTCCGGTTGGCGTGCGTCGCTTAAAAACGTCTTTTCTTAAGCTCATTAACACTTTCTCTTCTTAGGCTGACTCCTCGTTTTGCGGCGTCTCTCTCGTGTCCTTGCCGCTCGCTTGGTTCGCTTGGTTCCCATGCACACTAATAAGTATTTATGAAGAAAAAAAGGAGTTCTCACAGTTATCCTTCGACATACTTTTTCGCCTGCATCTCAATCACTGTTCAAACCAGATCAAATGAGTGCAAAACACTCTGTGCTCAGTTAGAAATTCTGTTTCATTAAATCACTAACTTCTCATCCAATCGCTTAAATTTTGCAGTATTCAGTGTTCGCCATTAGTACCCAGTTTGCCGAAATAATTTACCTTCTTGAAACCATTACTCACTGTACAAGTGCACATAATTCACGATTTATTGCACGATACATTCTGTAGGCAACGATGATCAACACCAGACGCTACAAAAAACGCTGGCTCGCCTTTTAGCAGAACTTCGGATTCCAGCTGAAGTGAGGGTAAGAAAAGCTGTTTTTTGGTTATATAATCACTGACATTCGTTTCTTTTTTGTGAGTGGTATAAACCAAGGCTTTGCTCAGTTACACTCTAAGGTAGAAAAACAAACGAGAGATTGCTCAAAATGAATTTTATTCCTTTGTCGCCCTCTTTGCAAACTGCTTCTGGGTCTAAGCTGTTGTTACTATGACAACGCATATGCTACGTTTTGTACTTGACTCAGGATTAGGAGTAACCGGATTTCAAGCAACTTGTTCCAGATAATCACTTTAATTTTGGAATTTTGTTATTTCCCAAGTGGATGTACTCTGCAGAGGCTGCCTTGAACTGATCAAGTTTCCCCTTTTTCCAACCCGTTTTAGATGATTCATTTGACAGAAGAAGCACTATCTCAGACAAGAAACGCCGACGGCCTGGCGGTAGGTTACTTCAGTCTTCAGTCATATTAACTTGACATAGCCTGACCTAAGTATCAGGCTATCGTTAGGGGTTACGGGAGAGGAGATTTTAGGGGAAGAAGGGGAGAGGCGCTTTTTCCCTTTGTCGTTTCTCCCTTCTCTTCCCCCCTCCTCCCCCCTAAAAACTAAAGCTATCATCATCTAAGCTAGACTAAACGTTGAGTGTCTCGGGTTTCTGAATGATTATTTTAAAAGGGCTTTTACCATACCTTTCATTTGTTTTAAACGACCAACTGAATGGTAGGTTGATCCGTCACTTCTTGGACCCTTTTTTTTTACGTCTTAACAAAAATTCTCGGTGTGCGTAAACTCCGTTCTGACGGACGGGTAAATAACAAGTGCCATTTCAGATTCTTGCCGGTAAACTACCCTGTCAGATTATCCTCTGGTCCTTGCGCTGTTAATAATAGGGAGCTTAAGCAGCAACGTTTTTGAGCGACGCACGTCAACCGGAAGTGGCCTTTTTTCATTTTTTGACGGTGGTTTCGCGCAAATTTTCGACGACAGGCGATGGCACAAATTTTATATCATCAAGGCATGAACGGCAAAAACGACCAGCGATGGCATAAAAAGGTTTTGATAAACAAAACAACAACTTTGCACGTACATCGTGCTTTTTTGCACATTTCTTTTTGCCGTCACTGCACAACTACGACGTGAAAATGCCTGATTTCACGTTCTACGGAGGACGTGAACACAAGACAACGATTTTCTTTTTCTTTTGTGAACTTAGATACAGTCTTTTAGAATTCAACTCCTTAAAAATCGCCAACAAATTGAAGGAGCTGGAAAAAGGGCGATAAATTATGAAACAGTGCGAATTCACTTTTTGGTGACGTTTTCGCTGCCGTCGCCGTCGTCGTTGCTTTAGCTTCTAAATGCACTAAGAGTGTAAGGTTCTTCTACTTTGGAAAGTAAAAATACAACTGAAGAAATTAACATATTTAAATTTTTTATCTCTGTCCTCTGATTTTCGTCCACAGCCCGCTACTAACTGGTACCGAACAGTGAATCAATTGATTAAACTACACTCTTCAGAAGCATGTAAGCTCACAAAATCCTTCGTTTTCTTCTTCGGTTCCAAAATCCGTGTTTTCGTTTGTAGTCGCTGTAGCAACTGAGGGCCAAAGGATGGGAACGGTTACAAGGGTGTTGTCGCGGCGGGGCGGGGTGGGGGTAGTGGGTGTGAACGGGGCCATGTTACCTCTTCTTTGGGTACATGTTGTCTCTCGAGACCGAAATTTCTTTTGATTTTCTCAAAAGACAGTTCTTCCCGTAAAGTAAGTCGTTGATTTATAGTTTGTTTCTAAGAACCTTAACTTTGTGCTTTTACATTATTGACCAAAATAACAGGCGCCGGGTTCAAAGGGAGGATAGCGCTATTCTCCGGATGAATCTCTATCTACTGGATAACGCAATTTGTTTCCCTGATACTTATCCGTTGGATAGTGACTTATCCGGGGGATGGCGCTATCCATCTGGCTTCAGTTGTTCAAAACGGTGAACAGTGAATAGCACTGTCCGCAGGATAAATCTATATTCAGTGGTAAACACAATTGGTTCAGTATCCTTTGCAGGGTGATTTATCCTGTGGATAGCGCTATCCGACGTTTGAACAAGCGGGGCCTGTTGAGCAACCGACGACAGTTGAAGAGCGTATGTGCCCTATAAGCGTAATAGACCTTTCCCGCATTCCTGTAAACAAAGGCATCAAGTCGAGCCTCGGGTGGACAATATACAGTGATTTGTATGAAATTGTCCACCCGACCCTCGACCTCATTTCTTTGTGTTTGCTCACTGGAGCGGAATGCGGGAAAGGTCTGTTGTGTACATAATGATGTAACACTCTGATAACCTGAACGTGTTTCATCAATTTTCGCCAGTTTGAATGACCAGCGTTTATTGATTTTTCAAGGCAATTGACATTTTGTTTGTATCTATTTCTTTTTTTTTTTTTTAATTTTTTACACCGGATGAAGAATGGCCATATTTGTGAGAAAAGTGACCAAGGGACTAATGATTAAGTAATTAGAAGTTTTGTTGTTCCTTTCATTCTAGTTGTAGTGCTCACCGGCCTACCACATCCTCCCAACGAAGAAAACATGGCTCATCAATACATTCAAAACATCTCAGTCCTCTCTGGTTAGTCATCGTCTCGTTCTTTTTGGTTTTGTTGTCCCAATTAAAACTCATGCGTTTCTTATTTCTTTCCATGGTCTTCTTAACTTTCAATACATTCAAACCTCTGAAAACGGTCACCTCCACCGACGTTCTGAAAGGCCACGAAAAGTCCCGACGGGTGTGCAGCCTGTCAACAAAACCGCCTCATATTGCTCTCCTCCACTGGGACAGAACGAATTGTTTGTCCATCTAAGCAGACTTCCCTTTGGCTCGCCGCGTGTTTCCTCGGTCTTTGCTTGAAAAATCTCTCTAGAAAATTACATGCTTCTATGAAATGCTGTTATTAAAAAAATTTCGTTGGAACGCTCATTGAGATAGAGTTTATCAGTGTCGTTTAACAAATTAACCAGTGTTTACACCGTAATTTTTAGGGAGTTATTATAACTCCAAAAATGGAGTAAACATTTTAGGCACAGGATAACGCCTTTTGGGGGGTTATTTTTACTCCTAATTTAACTCCGAATTTGGGGTCATTTTTACCCCTGAAAAAGAGTTCTTTTTACTCCCAGTGTGGAGTTAAATTCACTCCGAAATGGGGTTACTTTTACCCCTTACATGGGTTGTTCTTACTCTTTTTGGAGTTGATTTAACTCTGAAAGTGAAGTAAAAATTTTAGGTACAGGATAACTCCTTTTTGGGGGTTATTTTAACTCCTCAATATCTGGGGTCACTTTTACTCCTGAAAAAGAGTTCTTTAAACTCTTTTTGGAGTTAAAATAACTCCCCAAAAAATAACTCCACTGTAAGGAGTCAAATTAGCCCCACTAGAGGAGTTATTATAACTCCCTGAAAATTACTGTGTAAACATAGTTTTTTTATGATTATTGGTAAGCCACTGACACTTGTATACAGTTAAAAAAAGACACTTCTAAACAGAGATGGAGGCCCACTCATTATCAGCCTGTTCCAGGCTCCAAGATAGTAGGGAACGTGGATCGAAAAAAAATATCGCGAAAACCGTCATGACTATTCGCTCGCTCGCTTTTTCGCTGCTCGCCCGCTTTTGTCTCTAGTCTTCACTGACCGAGAACCTGGTACCGGCTAACTCTTTGTCCAAACCGTGGTCTATTTCAGGCGTCGTTTAAATAGCCGGCCTGTTGCCTCTCCTACGTAAATTAAATAAAACCTGACAGCAGCAAAGTTTCGTCTGTAGTTTATATGATTGACAATGTTATGATTTTTTTTCCGCAGACAACCTCCCTCCTGTAATGATGGTATATGGGACGTCTTCAGTGGTTTCAACGTCACTTTAAAATTTAAAAAAAAACTATAAGATAAAGCTTATTTTATTTATTTAGTTATTTCTCTCACTTCCCACTGGTCATAAGAATGCCGATGTGATTGAAGAAGTCCAAATGCAAGTTTTTTAGGAGGAACTAACTCTAAGCAAGATAGACGCCTTGTTTTCAACTTCCTACCAATAAGAAATATACGAGGATTTCCGAAAAAGGGGGAAAGTAATGATTCTTTTAACACCGTAGGCGCATTTAACTGACTCTAGTGATCGCTTGTTTCAGACTAATTTGCACTTTCGTCTCGTAACGCTTCTCCATTTGAGGAGAGGAACGTCTATTGAAGACCGAAACAACAAATAACCCTGGTCAGCATACAAGACTAAGAGGAACGTTCCTCTAAGCCGTTCTGTGTATTTTTTTTTTCTTGTATGAGGGGAAAAGAAAAGTTTACTTCATACTTTTACTCTGAATTCAGCAAACTCCCCCAGCCAGCTCGAATACTCTACGAAACTGAAAATTAAAGAAAGAAAAAGAAACATTTTAACTTAACAAGTTTATTTTTGACGTTTCGTCTTTATAGGGAACTAAATACAGAAGATTTGACCTATATATTTCCTAGAGAGAATGAACTGGACACTAGGCTAAAATAATTCTTATAATTCTTAATTCTTTTATCGCAAGAAAATGATTTACTAAATGTGTACAAATATAATATTCAATAAGAGATAGTTAGTTTTTCTTCAACCTGTCGTTTGTCTCCAAAGTTCTGTAAGCTTCTTGTCAGCCTCTAGAGGGCGTGTAAATGGATACAAATAATTCACGAATGGAGTTATTACAAGACATGTAGTATCCCTTTAGTGTGCCAACCTTTGCCTGCTTTTCGCCATTTTGGTGAAAAAAAAGAACTACTGTGCTCAAATTGATTCGTCGGAGCGTCCTTTATTTGAAGACGATGGCAGCTTTACCGGTTGTCTTTGCAAAGATATTTGTTATTTACATTGCGAACCTACGCGCTAATAGAGAGATTTGGAACCAGTCCACGCCAAAAGGCAAACGTCAATTTTTAACGCGTCATCAAATTTTCCTTTTCTTGTTGTTTACTGTTCGCGATAGGCTGCGTGGCAGGCATTCGAAAGGGATGGAGAAGGGAATTTGGGCGCGAGACGCTCCAGAAATCCCCATTCCCTTCCCTTTCGAATGCCTACCACGCAGGCTATGTTCGCTATATCGACACGAACATAAGGTCCGTAAGGAGTTCCACGTCGGGTCCATGAATTATTGTAAAATGTATTGTAAAGAGGGCACGTCTGTTGTCCTCTCATCCACGACTCTTCATTCATTCATTCATTTCGTGGTTTGAGAAATTGTCAAACTACATCTGACGTTCCCTTTTTTTCGTGAACATGATTCCAAATCTCTCTAATCCTCGCGTACTCGACCGACGACATAGATTTCACTTAACTCGGGCCTATTTCCGGAACAGCGTGATGACCGATCCTACTTACTGCTTCGTGGAGACTGAAAAACACTGACTGTCAGTAGGTATGCGGCTGACTCGTCCCCAGTCTATTTGGATCGCCCGTGAAGGACGGAACGCGAGGGGTGATGGGAAGGAGGAAAACGAAAGGGAGAGACATTGCACATGAGGGCAAGGTACCTTCCCGGTCAAATAGGCCCGATGAAACGGCCTATGTTCCAAGTTCAAAATGTCACCACCGTCTGTGTTAATCCATCCGCCATCTTGTAAACAGGATCTGCCTCCTTCCCATCGCCCCTTGCGCTCCCCTTGACCTGAGAGACGTCTGTCGACCGAGAGGCGTCTGGGGAGGAGTCAGCGTATGCGGAAACACGATTTCCGAGCGCTATCCTCTTTTGGTGAGTAACAAGGTTTGTTTTGAGGAGTGGTGTGGAATAGCTGCGGTACATGAGAATGCCGAAAACAGGGGTCGGTGTCATGTTCGTGTCGGTTTGCACTGAGGCCTGTTTCTCGGAAGTCCCGGTAACCTTTCGGGCCCGGAAAGCTGTTTTATGTTCGCTGTGTTTGCATTCAAGATCAATCAATAATGTTGAAAATGATACAATGGAACTATCAGTTAACGAAGCAGAACTGGCCGGCTTGTGAGCTAGGAACTTTGCAACCATTCAGCAGGTTCGATTTGCCTTCGGGTCCAAAAAGTTACCGGGCCTTTCGAGAAATGGGCCCCTGGAGTCTTTTTACAGGAAAGCTATCGCGTTCTTTCACTGGCTACCACTAGGCTGCGCAAAAAAGACTGCGTAGAAATTCCATTCCAAAACAGTCCCATAGTGGAATTCGACACTATCGACCTAGTCTCTCGGGCAACCATAAGAGGCTAATGAATTCTAAGTACGAAAAAAACACGTACAGCTTTTTATTTGGAGGTCGCGCAAATGGAGTTTTCGAGATCGCTTGTTTTGATTCAAATTTGCAATAGGCACGCAATACGTGCGGACATAACCAAGCCAAGCGACGCGAATGTCTGTCACGCGAACAACTCGTACAAGGCAAAAAAAAACATGCCAAAAAGAAGGCTCTGCCAGCAAGGTACTTGATCCCACTTTTACGATCTCAAAAACCTTGGGAACGAAGAAATTAAAAGCGATCCATGGACAATTTTATCGGAACTAACTGATGTTAGCCTATTAATCTCAACACTGAATGATGCGTAATATCATTGCAGATGTTTAGAATGGAGCTGATTTCTTAAAATCTTATTGAGCAAAATGATCTCGGCAAGTTGCACCGTTACAGGGGCAAAGTCCAAAATCTTCACGTGCGAACTAAGGGACAGTTATTTTAAAAATCCTTTGGGTTAATCAGATTAAGTCGTGTTCTCTCGTACACGAACCACGAAAGCGGCAAATTCCAAAGCTTTCACGCGCAAACTGCGTGACAATATAACTCACAGTAAGGGCCAATTTTCAGATATTGGAAATTATGCGCATGAGCAGTTGGTTCCTTGCTGCCCTGTTTCTCGCTTGGTTCATTCGCCGGACTGCCCGGCAAGCGTGATTAGTTGGAAAATTTCCAGCCGGGATCCCAGTCTAACCTGGCTGGATCGGTTATCATGTCATTGCAAAGTTGGTTTTTGTTGCGTTTAAATGAGGTGCTGAGATCTGTACAAAGCGAGCCAGCTCGGCTCATGCATTCAGGCCCTTGGTTTTATAGCCAGATCGTACGCCTTCCCCTTGACCTCACCGATTTTTTTAAGTCCCCCGGAACCAGCTCCCCTAAACATCTTTATACCCCCTTCTCCATATTAAATGAACTTTCCAATTCCCTTATCTCCTAAACATCTTTATACCCCCTTCTCCATATTAAATGAACTTTCCAATTCCCTTATCTCCTAAACATCTTTATACCCCCTTATCCATATTAAATGAACTTTCCAATTCCCTTATCTCCTAAACATCTTTATACCCCCTTCTCCATATTAAATGAACTTTCCAATTATCCCTTATCTCCTAAACATCTTTATACCCCATTCCCCATATTAAATGAACTTTCCAATTCCCTTATCTCCTAAACATCTTTATACTCCCTTCACCATATTAAATGAACTTTCCAATTCCCTTCTCCCCTAAACATCTTTATAGTCTCCATATTAAACGAACTTTTCAATTCCCTTATCCACGTTCTCTCCATACTAATAGTATCAAAAATAACAGTAAAAAAAATCCTGAACAGAAAGCCTAACAACATTTAAAATAATTACAAGTATGTTTTCGACTATTAATAAGATCTTTCACAACCACAACATCATTTCAACAGTATAGTACGTTGGTGAGAACAGATGTCTGAACTTTAGGGGTTTGTTTTGTCACGTGAAACTACACTTGAAAATTTATACCCCATCCCTCCACCCACCCCCCTACCACCACCACCACCACCATACATACATACATACATACATACATACATACATACATACATACATACATACATACATACATACATACATACATTCATAGACTCCCGATAACTCGAACCCTCGCTAACTCGAACCTCGCGGTAACTCGAACCAAAATCGATTTCCCCTGGATTTCCGTCATACATTCATTGTAATTTTACCCTCGGTAACTCGAACCCTCGATAACTCGAACTCCCGCCAACTCGAACCAATTTTCGTTTCCCCTCAGGTCATTTTCAATATAATTTTACCCTCGATAACTCGAACCATGTTTTGAGCTCCTAAAAAGTCGGGAAAAAAGCCGTCTACTGGCGTCCGAAACATTGAATGTGGGATTTCCTACCGACGTGTTGTAGAAGTATAGATTACTGGTGGAGGCTGATGTTGATTGTCACAGGCTAACGTGAAGCAGCTCTACTTCTCAAAACAGTAAAACGCATGCTCTATTTAGGCTATGTTTTGTTGCGTTACGTTCTGATTTATGATCTAAAAGTATCTTTTAATTTTCTCTTGACATTTCTACAATTAAATGTGGCTAAAATGTTCACTGTGCAGTAAAAACTGTTTTTTACCTTACTCCCGGCTATTTTCTTCGAACTTCCGATAACGCGAACTCCCGATAACTCGAACTTTTTTCAATTTCCCTTGAAGGTTCGAGTTATCGGGAGTCGACTGTACATGTTTTTTATTTGGAGTCTTGAAATTACAAACACCACCAAATCAAGGACACGTGATTTTCGTAATTGGTGATTCGTGATTTTCTGCGCGCGTTCATCCTTGATTTGGGGGGGGGGGGGTGTTAGCCTCCCACGCAGGGTTTGCTGTTCCATTTTATTCTGTCCAAGATTGTAGTCAAGATTATTTTTGGGTGGGCTGTTAAAACTATGTGCACGTCAATAAGCATTGTCCCATAACAAAAACAGGACGATAAATATAGGTTGCTTTGACTTTAGACTCTACGGGCAGTGGCCATCTCAAACACTTAACTCCTCATTAATGACGATGACCTTTGCGTGGGCAGCGAGGGGAAAAGAATGTTGGGGGTCAATGCGCATATTTGACTAAAATAATAACATGCGAAACACTACAAACGTCACAACACGGTAAAGTACCTTAGATTGTTTTCACTTTCGACTCGAACTGGCGTGTCCGCGTCCCTCTTTTCTCTTGGCCCTCAACTGAAATCTTACTGATTTCTTTCGGAAAAAATCAACAGTCTTCGTTGAGAAGACCCCCAAGTGAGTGTACAATTAGTAGACAAGTAATCTACAGAATCTAGCAAAGGCCACTTCAGAATTCTGTATGTGTATTGCTTAACACTATATTTGTATCACGAACGGAAGATCGGGGGGGGGGGTATCTGAACCTTCTAAGGCTAAACCGAATGGCCACAAACATTTATTTTAATGTTAATCAAGGAATAATATCTTGTTCTGCGCCCAACGTACTACAGAGATAAACGAACTGTTTTGCGAGACAATGATGTTTAATTAAAACTAATAGACCTAATACAGTAAGGCCTTAAAATGCATTAGGCTAAAAATGTTTTATTCTATGAGCATGGTGTTACTCATAAAGGGGGCCCTTTCTTAAATTTACTGCGGATATTTTGGGAAAAAACACACAAGGAATACGGTAAGGGATATGTCTACGTTTTCGCGGAAAGCAAGTACATGATGTCACCCCAACACAAAATGGTTACACACGTTTCCGCTACTTTTCGACGAATGACCCCCCTAAAAGACAAATTTTAAAGTTTTCGCCGCACGTAGGCTCAATAAGAACACACTTCCATCCCAAATCGTTTTGTGCGAATT